TCTAACCTTGACATTCCCACAAACACCTTGTCTACAAACTCCCTAGCCCTCGTTTTATCTAGAACCGGAAAGTCCCTGACAATCGAAACCATCTTGATCACCAACCCTTTTGACCAATTAACCTCCAGAATCTTATCAATCACCGAATTTACAAAATGCCCGCCACGTTCAATCTCCTCAGCGTTGCGAATCAAGTTCAAGCACCGGGGAAGAAGGTCAAGGATTTGGGCATCCTCCAAATCGACGATTTGGGGCAAAAATGACACAATGGGTTCGACTATTTGGGGAAGATCGGTGATGGGTACGTGGGGCAAGAGGGGGTGGAAGAATTGGATGGTTTTGAGGGAGTTGGCGTCGTGTGGGATTCGGAAGGAGGTGAAGATTTGGGTGTAGGATCGGAGGAGAGAGGAGAGGAGGGTAGAGAGAGAATCGAATTGGGGAGACAGAGCGATGAGGGAGAGGAGAGAGACGGTGTAGTCGGAGACTGGCTTCGACGGCGAAATGGATTGAGAGCGGGCGGTGAGGTAAGAGAGGAGGGTTGGGTGGGACGCTGTGGAGAGAAGGTAGGAGGGGATTGAGGAGCAGGACTGGGCTACTCGGATGATATCGGTGTCCGATAGTGGGGGTGGTGATTGTTGTTCCCCGGTGGATGTGGTTGCGGTGGTGTTCATGGCTGGTTTGGTTTGTTGGAAATTCTCAATTTAAATTTGGTTTCTGTGTCGCCGGAGATATTGATGGTGGTGGTGGAGAGCGGTTGAGCGGAAACTTGCTGTGGACTCAACAGTGGGGTCTTGTTTCGATTTTGCGCGGCAGAAATTCGTGGGATTTTGGAAGTGATTATTTAAAATTTTGATTTAAGCGCGTTTTTTTTTTTTTTAACAAACGATATTATCTACGTTAAAAATATAAAATGTGAGCTTAACCTTACAATTGGCTAACAATAATGTGGTTCAAATTCGTCTCTGGCAAGAATTGAACCTAAAACCTCTAACTTACAAGTGAAAAACAATATCACTAGACCATACTTCTAAGTGACTTAATTTACGCACTCTCAACACTCGCTAATCGTACTTTTTTTTTCAATTTCTTTTAATTAAATAATTGGTAGAATTCATTTTTGTGCTAGCATATGTCTCCACAGTGTATGAACATTTTTTATTTGGTATGTGCTATCTACACACGCTTGATAGCAGACCTTTTTTATTTTTATTTTTAAAATGGCAATGAGAGAGCGAGAGAGCAAGAACATGGGAGTGGGAGTGGGGATGGGAAGAGGAGGTTATATTAATAGGTAGTTTGGATAAACCATTTGATAAGTGATAACTATTTCGTTTTCAATTTTATTTTTTTTTTAACTTTTAAAAAAAACTAAAAACTAAACTTGTTTAGTACCTACTAGCATATGCCCACATAGTCAGTGTGTAACATCCCACATCGACCAACAAAGAGGTGGTGATGTGCCTTATATGTACATCCTCTCCTCCCTATAGCACGAGGCATTTTGAGAACTCACTAGCTTTTGATTTCATCGGAACTCCGAAGTTAAGTGAGTTCAAGCGAGAGCAATTCTAGGATAAGTGACCCTTTGGAAAGTTCTTGTATGAGTTCCCAAAAACAAAATCGTGAGGGCATGGCCCAAAGTGGACAATATCGTGCTACGGCGAAGCCGATCTAGGATATGACAGATTGGTATCAGAGTCACTCTCCCGTGTGGTGCGAGTGTGCCGAGGAGAACGTCGAGCCCCTAAGGGGGGTGGATTGTAACATCTCATATCGACCAACGGAGAGAGGGTGATGTGCCTTATATGTACATGCTCCCCTCCCTATAGCATGAGGCATTTTGAGAACTCACTGGCTTCGAATTCCATCGGAACTCCGAAGTTAAACGAGTTTGAATGAGAGCAATCTTAGGAATAGTGACCCACTGGGAAGTTCTCGTGTGAGTTCCTAGAAGCAAAACCGTGAGGGCGTGGCCTAAAGCGAACAATATTCTGCTATGGTGGAGCCGGTATAGGATGTGACATAGCGTGTGTGTGAACATTTTTTTATTTTTGCTGATGTTAAAATCATATGTGGGTGATGCTTTAAAAAAAAAAAGTAAATTTTGTGTTCTTATAATTACTAAATTGCTAATAATCTTTATTTATGTTCAATTTTAATTAGAGGGTTAAAATAATAATTTCTTAAAGTTTTGGTTGATAACTAGAATTCTATTAATATGTAGTTTAGATTTCAATTTTAAATTTTTAAAAGAAAAAGTAAAACCTACTTTTTGGGTTTCTAAAATTTATCCTTGGGTTGATTTTAGTTTTCATTTTATAAAAACTGAAAATAGTTATAAAAAAAATATATTTTTTTAGATTTTAGAAAGTAAAAATATAAACTGAAACTGAACTGAAATGGTTATCAAACAAAATCGTAGCAAGACACGAAAGTTTGAGCTTGCAATATCATTTTATAATATTTTGTGAGATTAGGTACGAAGTAATACAATACCCCTTGACTTTAAGCGCACATTGACACCAAGTTAAACAAACAAAAGAAACTTTACCTTGACAAAATTCATATCGAATTTACATTGACAAAACAAAAATTTTAGTACATAAATTGATAATTTCAACAAATCAAATGTACGATATATCATACATTGATTTGGTCTTACAATGAATTAGCAATAATATAGCTCAAATATGCATTTGGTGAGAATCAAACTTAAGACCTTCTCACTTACAAGTGAAAAGGAATATCATTAAACCGTAGTATTAAATAACCATTGACTTTTTTTTTTTTTTTTTAACAAACGAAGGGAGGAAAAAAAACAAAAAAACTTAACTTCACAATGGTCTTAGCAAGAAAATTACAAACTTGAATATTAATGGAAGGACAATTATATGGTGTGTCATGGGTCCATTGACAAAAATCTAGGTCCACGATGTGTTATGAAATGGGGTCCCAGATACTTCTTGATAGCCATCCTATAAACTTGAAGTATGATTCTCTTTCATTCTATCCTCTCATATTTAAACAGTTGTGATTATACCATGTTTACATTTTGCTTTGAATTTTTTATATTGAGAATAAAAACAAATAGAAGAGTATAAGAGAATGAAATGGAATGAGATGGTAATAGGAGTGGAGAGAACTTTGAGCATATGACGCGTGTCCCAGGTTGGAGTGGAGCTAACACGAAGATTGCCAAATTTGATATGGGCACACAGTTTGTCCACAGGCATGAAAGCGATGACATCGTAATTCGCAAAATTTCGAATGAACAACCGAACTCGTAAGCATCTGATCCATTTATCTTACTGGAATATTACTCGATGCTCCTCCGAATGCATCACCGAAGCAACAGCTAATCAGAAGATGCCACCACATCGTAGGCACTGCCGCACTGGGCAACCCCTCACGCGCCAATGATTCGACACATTTGATAATATATTCGTAATAGCATATGACTAAATTTTTAAACTGAATTTGTAAATTATATGATATGTTAGAAAGTAAATACGTTAATTAATATTTAAGTAATAATTTAATAATAAAACCACCTCATATAATTAAGTAAATTTGATCTAAAAATTTGGTCACTCTAGTATTACACTAATATACCCACTCGGCATTTAGAAGGAAGCCTAATGTGGCTTGTCGTTAGGCAGAAACACGATTGTCAATATACTGCCTACAAACTGTGTGTAAACATTTTTATTTTTTTTTGTGTGTAAATGTTTACATTTTTTTTACCATCGATTGCCACACAAATTGGCACAAGTTTTTATTAATACACGCAATAACCACATACATAAGGTATAATTCTTTCGTATTAAATAGTGTGAGCAATTGTATCAATTTTATATTATGGGTAGGGCCTCTCCGGAGTCAAAACAGGTGAATAACCGTGATTTGCCATCAGTTTTTCCTCTTTTTAAAAAAAGAAAAATAATTTTCATATTCATATTCAAGAAAAACTTTTGCCGTCCTACTTAAATGTTGGGTAAAATAAACTCACCACTTGGATAGTTCATAGAACATTAGGTAAATTTTTGTTAATTTAGCTAACATTTGGCTTCAACAACTTTTTTAACCGGTCAATTTAATTTAGCATATCTATATAATATTTACTATTTTAATTAATTGGGAGACCATAACTTGAGACCTCTTTGAATAATAGAAAGGTATGTAGTATTAGACTATGAGTTTGTTATATGGTATCACTTTGATACGGCAAATCATATTACAATTGTTAATTTGTGGTATCAATATTTTTTGACAAGAAAATTTTGGAGTATTAGTTTTTGAACTTTTGATCCAATTGTTACATCTTATGACAAATTTAAGAACTAATAGTTACGAATTTTTAATTATAAAGCCAAAATTTATATCGACAAAAGCACAAAAGATCAATGCTCAATTTTTATTCTTTAGGACAATGACGTAGAACATAACATTATAACCAACCTATATAACATAACGTTCAAAATAATATCATTTAAAATTTTATTTTCTATTACAAGCATATAACGATATTGTACACTAAAGGATACTAAAGGGCCGGGAAGAAGAAGAAAGATAAGACGATAATCAGACAATTTGTCACTTACTTTACAAAAAATGGAGATGTTTGGCCCTCCATAGTAGAACGGAAAATTGAGTGTGATTGATAATATAGGAGCCAAACTCTTACAGTAAGTCGAAAATTTTGAGTGTATGAGAGCTATTTTTATTTTTGATTTCAATATATTGAACTTATAAGTGTGAAACATGTATACTAAATAACAAGAGAGAAAAAATAAATAGACAGTCGTAAAATAGAGAAAAATAAAAAGCGGAAGGGCTTGGTGTAATACGAATTAAACACATAATACAGTCAAATTCCTATAAATTACTTTACATAATTTCAAGATAAGAAAATAGAAAAAAATTTAAGAGCGTGGTGTCCCCTCCCCAGAAATGCGAGTAAAACAAAGCGATCGCTCGTCCATACACACGCACACGTATGATTTGGCTCCATTACCAAATCCACCGAGCTGAGTTTCCTTCCGAATCTTTCCAAGCGTCACCGTGAAACGGTCAATACGCAAGCAATCGCAATTACAATTAAAAACGCCACCACCTTCCTATAAAACTCCGTTAATACATAAAAGATCAGCTCCTTGAAATTCAGACCCAGAGAGAGAGAGAGAGAGAGCGAGAGAGAAAGTGGTAGTAGTTAGCAGACCAGAAAATGGGCAGCAGCGGAAAGGGCCTGACAGTTCTGGAAGTGGGAGCCGATGGCGTGGCTCTCATCACCATCATCAACCCACCTGTCAATTCCCTCTCAATCGATGGTACTTTTCTTCCCTCCAAATTTAACCATCAATTTTTTTTTTATCTTTTGGGATTAAATTTGATGTCTTTTCTTTGATGGGATTTAAGTTTTATGTTAAACTACTATATGTTTCAATTGTTATTGGATAGCTGAAATTATTACCATTTGATCCATAATTTGATTCGAATAAGTATACTGGCATTAAGAAAAACGTGTTCAAATTATACTAATTACTCTCCCTCTCTGTGTATGTTTCAGTGTTATTCAGCTTGAAAGACAGTTATGAGGAGGCCTTGAGAAGAAATGATGTGAAAGCGATTGTTGTAACAGGCAAGTGGGGCAATTTGGTTATTGTTTTTCATGATCTGGGGCTGTTTGTAAATGAAATCGTGTTGTTGGTGCAGGTGCTAAAGGAAAATTTTCGGGGGGTTTCGATATTACTGCTTTTGGTGGACTCCAAGAGGGGCAGAAGCGTATGTTTAATATATTTTTGTCTTTTTTTTTTTTTCATGTTTGTAATGTTCTAGTAAATGGTATTGCATTACTACATGTGGTATTAAGTTCCTACCTCCCTTGTTATGTGTTGCAGAGGAGCCGAAGCCCGGTTTTATATCCGTGGAGGTTATCACTGACATTGTTGAAGGTGAATAATTGTTTTGTTTTGTGTTTTTTACTTATTATTTTTATCCCTTTTACAAGAAGGGCTTTGCTTGAATTGACCACTGTGATGGGTTGCATGATTTTCCAGGTGCTAGGAAACCGTCAGTTGCCGCCATTGATGGCCTTGCACTGGGGGGAGGTTTGGAGGTGGCAATGGTATGTGTTGTGTTGCACTTGTTTCTTTTTTATTTTATTATTATTTTTTTTTACTAAGGCTTTTATGCTGGATTTTTTGGATGAAAATTTGATGTTCTTGTGTCAGGCATGCCATGCCCGAATATCGACTCCTACTGCACAATTAGGGTTGCCCGAGCTGCAGCTTGGGCTCATTCCTGGATTTGGAGGTATGGCTACGATTTTTGAATTGATTAACATAATTCTATATTGAATATAGTGAAAGCCTTGATTAAAGATATGGTTAGTTATCAATTAACTGTGCTAAGGCCTTGTATCAAATACTACATTCATCTGGGTTGGGGGTCGAGCCCGTCCCTTGTCCTGTGAACTCATCTTACTGGCCATGAAAAGAGAAAAAAAACAGAAAAAGAATACAGTGGCGTGATCATATCAGAATGTATATGACATATTGGCTTTTGAGATGATGCTGAATTTTCGCAGGAACGCAACGGCTTCCACGTCTTGTTGGAATCTCAAAGGCACTTGAAATGATGCTGGTGTGTTGTGTGTTTGGTCATTTCTGAACATCTTAATATCTTGTATGGTCATGCTGACTTTATTAATACTGATTACATTCCCTCCCCCATTTCCTTTTGTCTGTGCCCAATTAGACATCAAAACCAGTCAAAGGGGAAGAGGCTCATGATTTAGGCCTTGTCGATGCTATTGTTTCACCTGATCAGTTGGTGAGCACTGCACGTAGGTGGGCGTTGGATATCCTGGAGCGTAGAAGACCGTGGGTTGCTAGTCTTCACAAAACTGACAAGTTAGAGCCCCTTGGAGAAGCTAGGGAAATACTTAAATTTGCAAGAGCTCAAGTCCGGAAGCAGGCTCCCAATCTCAAACACCCATTGGTTTGTATTGATGTTGTTGAGGAGGGTATAGCTTCTGGTGGTCGGTCTGGACTTTGGAAGGTCCTTATCTGTTTCAATATTCTCTTTCATTTTTGCCAAACGTATATACTTGCAATTTATGTTTCTGGCTAGTTCAGGAGGCTGAATCATTTCAAGGACTTCTGCGGTCTGACACTTGCAAGAGCTTAGTCCACGTCTTCTTTGCTCAACGTGGAACATCAAAGGTTTGACACACAACTTTTGCATATTCACCTCTAAAAAATAACTAACCTGCATCCTGTGATGGAATTTTAAACTGGATCATGAGCTTTAACTTATATCTCTACTGTTAATTTGAAAAGAAAAAAAAATCAAATTCAACTATTTTATATTCCTATTGAAGTAGAATGATTGTGTGGATGTTTAAGTTTGGTCTATACATTGTTATTTAGCTGTTTTTTTAGGGAGTTTGAGGAAGTTTTGAGCCATGCTTGTTGAATTGCTTTAACTTGGTTGAAAATTTATTCAAACACACGTCTTTTAAAAATTGGAATTGCTCTTCGGAGTAACAATTTTAAATGAACAAACGTAGGATGGTATTATTATAAAATCGGTTACTAACTGGTATTCGGCCATATCATAAAACCACCTTTGCTTTGATGACTTTTGAGTACTTGACTCATCGTCTCATAACTGTATATAGGTACCTGGGGTTACTGATCGTGGTTTGATGCCTAGACGAGTGACTAAGGTTGCTGTCATTGGTGGAGGGTTAATGGGATCTGGAATAGCTACTGCATTGATTCTTAGTGGTTATCCGGTGATCCTGAAAGAAGTAAATGATAAGTTCTTGCAGGCTGGGATTGGTAGAGTCAGAGGTGAGGCTAGAAGTCCTTTTAAAATTAAAGCTTCTAGTTTAGTATATTATTGATATTTGCTTCTAAAAGCTTTACCTTTCACATATTTTCACACGTATTTAGTAGTAACAATGCTTCTAAAAGTTTTATTCTTGTAAAAATTATAATAAAATAATATATGCTTGTAATCTTTGTTCCTGTGTATAATACCACAATATCAGCTTTTGTTAAGTATTTATGATGGCAATCTGCTATAAGTTGTCACTTTTCTGGTTCAGCCAATCTGCAGAGCCGCGTCAAGAAGGGGAAAATGACCCAAGAAAAGTTTGAGAAGACGACCTCTATTCTTAAGGGTGTCCTGGATTATGATAGCTTTAGAGATGTGGATATGGTCATAGAGGTAGTTCTTAAAGCATGTTCGATTTCGTTCACCCTTATGTTGTGTTGGTCGGTGGGGGAAATGGTCTGACATTCATCTTCTATGCTTGAAATAGGCCGTTATTGAGAAGGTTTCTCTAAAGCAGCAGATTTTTGCTGATCTTGAAAAATATTGCCCACAACACTGCATACTCGCAAGTAATACTTCTACAATTGACTTGAACCTCATTGGAGAGAAAACCAAGTCTCATGATCGGATTATTGGTGCCCATTTCTTTAGGTAATGCTATAAGCTGTATAATTGTCCTGGTTCTCTCTTTTTTCCTCAAATTGCTAACCGGTGAACTGCTTTGTGCTCTCCACGCAGTCCGGCACATGTCATGCCACTTCTGGAAATTGTTCGTACTAATCAGACGTCTCCCCAAGTTATTGTTGATTTGCTAGAAGTTGGGAAAAGAATAAAGAAAACCCCAGTGGTTGTTGGGAATTGCACAGGATTTGCTGTGAACAGAATGTTCTTTCCTTATACACAAGCTGCTCTCTTGCTTGTTGAACGTGGTGCCGATGTTTATCAGATTGATAGGGTAATCACCAAATTCGGAATGCCTATGGGCCCATTCAGGTCAGTAATACTTTTATGGAAACTTATGATCCGGTGGCTCCCGCGCTTTGCCACCCTTAAAATTTCCTTTTTTTTGTCATTGACCTGAGTTTGATATCCTATACATTCATTCAGATTGGCTGATCTGGTTGGGTTTGGCGTGGCAATTGCAACTGGCACACAATTTATTGTGAACTTTCCTGAGCGGACATATAAATCAATGCTAATCCCTTTGATGCAGGAGGATGGGAGGGCAGGTAATACTTTGTTGTTATGCTTGTAGTTGGCAAGTGAATATTTATTAACCAACTTCTTACTTAAATTCATATATCAGTAAGTATTTATCAAATTTTCGCATAACAGAATAGATTCCTTACATTCTTATTGTTTTAGGTGAAACTACTCGAAAAGGGTTCTATACTTATGATGACAGGCGCAAAGCTAGCCCAGATCCTCAGTTGAAAGGATATATTGAGAAGTCAAGGAGCATTTCGGGTGTTTCCATAGATTCTAAGGTCGCTCTCTCTTTCTTTCTCACTTGCTCACACACACACAGACACCATCTCCCTCGTGCAATGGCTGACACTGTCTGAATTATAAGTAACGGTTCTGACTCAAATTTGTGACAATCTGAACTCAGCTACTGAAGTTATCAGAAAAGGACATTGTTGAGATGATATTTTTCCCTGTCGTAAATGAGGCATGCCGGGTGCTTGCTGAAGGCATTGCTGTGAAAGCTGCCGACCTTGACATTGCTGCAATTATGGGCATGGGTTTCCCACCATACAGGTTTGTATAATTTGTTGAGAATACCTTCTTAAACGCCCTAAAATATGTAATAACTTGTTGGGGCATTTCTGTTTAGGGGAGGTATCTTGTTCTGGGCTGATTTACTTGGATCCAAATACATATATTCACGATTGGAGGAATGGTCAAATACTTATGGTGAATTTTTCAAGCCTTGCGCCTATTTAGCTGAAAGAGCTTCAAACGTGGCTTCTCTGGTAAGAATTCTGAACTGTTATGTGTTTATCATATAGTTCCATCGATGGTATATAAATTTACAGAGTGTTGCATCATAAAAGCTGTTTAGTAAATCCATATTTTGGTTATTCCTGTGCTGTAAGTTTTGTCTAAATCTTTTGGTTGAACTTCTCGCTGATTTCCTGGTTGAGTAAAGCTACAAAATCTGAACTTTATTAGAACTTACAAGCCTCTTACGTTAACTTAAAACCAACAGGCTTATATTCCCGTACACTTCCTTTTTCCCCGTAACATTCTTGATATTGTACTTCTTCTGCAAGCCTCTAACATGAACAGATTTGCACGATTGAATGTCATCGTGATTCACCAACCCAAGAACAATTTTGGATTGTCGGAATTTCTAGATTGGATTAGCGGTTGTGGTATATAATGTATCTGTTGCTGATTCTGCATGCGTCTAATAGTGCTTTCCACTGCTTCATTGCAGAGTTCTCCGTCGAAGCAATCAAAATCTCGGTTATAAGAAAGTTTCCAGTTGCATTCGAATCCACGGTTACGATTTTCTTCAGTCCCAAGTATCAATTTCCTTTCCATGGTATGAAAGGATGTGTAACAAGTGAGCGTGGGGATAATTATCTTTGGAATAAGGGGTAGGCAGGATATAATTATTCACAGATGGTTTCAAATCGAGTTCACATTGGGTTTTCTTCCTGAAAAGGGGAATTTGTTTTGTGTCATATTCTTACTAATTAATTTTAGTAGTAGAATTCTGTACTGGCGATGGTGTGGTAGCTCTCCTTTCTTTTTCCTCATGAGAATTGAGAAGCGACTTGGCACGGCTGCCGACGTACAGTGTCATGGTGGAGTGTTGTGCGAATCATGTCGTAAAGAGAGAAACTTATATGACATATTATTGCCATGATGGGACGTGGAAGTCTGGTTCTTCATACTAGTTTTTGGTCGCACCATTCCAAATTTACAACTACATGGATCAATATGATCCGATCGTTAAGACTTATTATCTTAGACACGCGGAAGGGAAGGGAAGGGAGGCGAAAACTAAACCGTGATACGACGCTCATTGAAGTGACGTGATGGTGATTTATTTCTGTATACCGGTTTTATATCTCCCTCTCCCCATCCGTGATGAAGGATATGAGATTACGACGCAGATTGAGTAAGGATCCGAGATTGGGTCATAACATTGGTATCATCTATTTTGATCCTGGTCTCCCTTTTGTATGCCACGCTCCACCAACACTTCTCTCAAATCTGCCATGGATGCTCGTCTCATTGCCCTGGAATCCTCCATCGATGCTCATTTCACCTCGTTGGAATCGACCATCGCTGTTGCTCTGTCTGGTCAAACTATGGGTATGGATGCTAAATTGGCTGTGGGATTTGAACAATTCTGATGCGAACTCGCTTTCACCGGTAAGGGGACTTCTTCTGTGGATACTCATCCTCCGAATGCCGAACGAGTGCCTCTTCCTCTGATCTTTGCTGAGGACGCTGATCCTCGAAGCTTGGATACTCCTCTTCATCATCAATGTGAAAATTTCGACGGCAAAGGGTTCACCCCTCGACCCCAGTGGCAACAACACGTGGATTTCCCACGCTTCAGTGAAGGCGATGACCCACTCGCCTGGATCTATAAGCCGGAGCAATATTTCATTTATTATTCTGTCCCTGAACATCAGCGAGTTGTCACAGCTTCCTTTTACTTGGACAATGAAGCCTTCCATTGGTTTCATTGGATGGATTGCCTCCATGCTACACCGACCTGGAGTGATTTCATTAAGGCTGTTTGCCAAGAATTTGGCCCTTCTAAGTTTGAAGATTGCACTAAGTTATTATTCAAACTCTGCCAAACAAGTACCTTGAAGGATTGCATCCTTAAATTTCGTAAGCTTGCTACTCGTTCCTCTGATGTTGGTCCTATGTTATTGCAGAGTTGTTTCTTGGGTGGGTTGAAGAAGGAAATCAAGCATGAGGTTAAGTTGTTTAGACCTATTTCTATGCATAAGGCGATTGTTTTAGCTGTGCAAGTTGATCGTAAATTTAGTGATAATAGAAAAAACTAACTCTCGAGTAGCACTAGCTTCAAAACCTTTAGTCCCTCCAGTGACCATTGTTTTCCCAAATAGACCCAAAGTGGGGACTCTCCGTTGTAAAAAAAACTAGGGTAAATCTCAGTTTACTACTCTCAAGTTTCATGGTTTTCAACATTTGATACATGAAGTTTTTTTCATCCCAGAGTCATACCTAAAAAGTTAATTTTGGGACAGTCTCATACATTCGTTAGTCTGGCTGTTAAGCCTACCGTTAACTGATGATGTGGTACCCATGTGGACAATGACTGGGCATCACGTGTCATTAAGGGGTCACGTGATCATTTAAAATTTAAAAAAAAAAAAAAATCCCTTTTGTTACTCATCTTCCTCCCAGAGGAAGTTCGATCCGCCTATCCGTCCTAAATCCCCTCCTCCTTTCCCTCCTCCACATCCCACCCAACCTTCATCTTCTACTTCACCCTCCGGCTACCTCTTCTTCCTGATTAGCCGGACCCACCTTTCTTCATCAAATCACCACCGTGAGCATCTAATTAGCCTTCCCCATCGTCAAATTGCTGCGAGCGTCCAATTGCCAAACCCACATTTCCTCATCGTCAACGCTGACAGATCTACGGTCACATTTAAGGGCGAGCTTGGTGACGGCACAGCAGAGCACACGACCGTCGCAGCAGAACTCCAAACTAAATGGGGGTGCTCAAAGAGGTGGTGGTGTCCTTTACTGTGCCAATGGGACGACATTGTGCTAGGCTTGCAACTAGAAGGTTCATAAAGTGAACAAGCCCACGAGTTCTTCTATCTTCCCACATGCCCAATTTTGAGTTTATGATTTGCAGAAATTGTTGGGTAATTGAATTTTGTTTGAATTTTTTAGTTTGATTTTGCAGGTGGCAGTTGGGTAATTGGGTTTTGCTTGAATTTTTCAATTTGAAGTAGGATTTGCAGGAGGCAGTTGTGCAGCCTAGAAGATTTAGCTTTTGGTAATTTTAATTTTGGATTCCGGCAATTGGGTTTTGCTTTTGTAATCAAATTATTGGATGTTCTTGAAGGAGATCCAGAGTTTGTGTAAGAACTCTTCGTGGTCTCCGTCGGTTTTGAGGTATTTGCCAGAGGGTGAGGTATGAGAGGCAGGTTGGGTAGGACACGGAGGAGAGAAAGGAAGAGGGGATTGGGGACGGATGGACGGATCGAACTTCCTCTGGGAAGAAGATGAGTAACAAAAAGGATTTTTTTATTTTTTTTATTTTTTTGCATGTGATAAATTTTTTTTTAATTTTTTAAATTTTTTATGATCATATGGACCCCTTAATGACACGTGGTGCGCAATCATTGTCTACATGGGTGCCATGTCATTAGTTAACGGGAGACTTAACAGCTAGACTAACGGATGTATAAGACTGTTTCAAAATTAACACTTTAGGTTTGACTCTGGGACGAAAAAATTCATATACAAAATGTTGAAAACCATGAAACTTGAGGGTAGTAAACTGAGATTTACCCAAAAAACTAACCCCATATGAAATCCAACACAAGAATGAACAGGGGGAGTGTTGGTTCTGTGAAGATAAGTGGGTTAAAGGTTATAAGTGTCCTCATAAACAACTGTTAATGCTTGATGTGCTAGACTTAGATGGTCCTGAAGTTCTTGAGGAAAATAGGGGGATAAGGATGAATTACCTCTGGAGTTGCAGCACATGGAGCTGAGTGAATGTGCTTATTTTGGGAGGCAAACAACCAATCCAAACAATGAAGATTGAGGGTTTTGTGAAAAATCAACATGTGAGAATTTTGTTAGACTCTGGAAGTACTTATAACTTCATAGATTCTAGGCTACTCAAGAACTAGGGTTGGTCAGTCAACAACATTGAGGTTTTTGAAGTGATTATAGCTAATAGGGGCCATCTTAAAGGATTGCAAGGCAATACCACTAAAGATTGGGGGTTATGAGTGCACCATTGATCTGTTCCCTTTTCATTGGGAGGATGTGACTTGGTCTTGGGAGTACAGTGGCTCTCTACTGTTAGTCCGGTTCTGTGGGACTTCTAATTGATGACTATGAAGTTCTCAAAAGGGGGGATAACACACAAGTTGGTTCATAACGTTGTCAAGCAACCATTAGTACAAGAGATGTCCTTTCAGCAACTAGACAAAGAGTTTTGCAACTCTAATCTCGGCATGTTACTTTACTCGATGAACAAGGAGAAATTAGAGGCCTCCAACCTTACTCCACAATAGTTGACAGAGTTACAAGAGGTCTTGAAAGACTTTGAAGAGGTCTTTGTGATTCTTTCCAAGCTACCCCATTCGAGAAGCCATGACTACCAGATTCCACTGGCACCAGGAGCACAACCACGCAATATAAGGCCATACCATTATGGACCTTTGCAAAAGACAGAAATCGAGAAGGCTATCTATGAACTATTGGAGGCTGGTTTTATCAGACCAAGCCACATTTCGTTTTCCTTTCCAGTGTTCTTGGTTAGGAAGAAAAAAGGAACATAGAGAATGTGCATGGATTATAGAGAACTAAATCCTCTAACTGTCAAAGAGAGGTACCTATACCACTCATTAATGACCTATTGGATGAGCTCTTTGGTGCTTGTTTCTTTTCCAAATTAGATCTTAGGTCCGATTATCTCTAAATTTGAATGCACCTAAATGATATTGCTAAGACTTCATTTCAAACCCACGAGGGCCATTATGAGTTTTTGGTGATGCCATTTGGCCTCACCAATGCTCCGACCACATTTCAAAGCCTAATGAATGACATCTTCAAGGCCTATTTCAGGAAATTTGTTTTGGTGTTTTCCAATGACATTTTTATCTATAGTAAGACCTGGGAAGACCATGTATGCCATTTGAGAAAGGCTTTTGAAATATTGCAGCAGAACCAACTATTTGTGAAGAAATCTAAATGTGCCTTGGGGCAAAGTTCTGTGGAATACTTGGAACACATTGTCTCCAATAAGGGTGTTGTAGCTGATCCATCCAAAATATAAGCAATCCTAGATTGGCTCATCCCTGCAAATGTAAAACAGTTAAGAGGGTCTTAGGACTCACTGGATATTATAGAAAGTTTGTTCCTAACTGTGGTAGCATTTGTTAGCCCCTTTACCAATTGACCAAGAATGACATCTTTGGGTGGAGTCTAGCAGCTACCAAGGCCTTTCAAACTCTGAAGAAAATAATGGCATCACCACAAATATTAGCACTACCAGATTTTTCAGCACCATTTGAGCTGAAATGTGCTGCATTTGGGGTAGGTATTGGTGCAATTTTGAAGTAGAAAGGGAAACCCATAACATTTGCTAGTCAACCCTTGGGACATAGAAACCAAGCTTTATCCACTTATGAAAGGGAGTTAATTGCTATTGTTTTTGCTGTGAAGAAATGGCAAACTTATTTGTAGGGAAGATACTTTGTCATCAAAACTAATCACCATAATTTAAAGTACTTCCTAAACCACAGAGCCAATACCTTTTTTCAGTAAAAATGGTCTTCAAATTAATGGGTATGACTATGAGATACAATATAAGCATGGGAGGGATAATATTGTTGTTGATGCTCTTTCCAAGGAATTTGAACCTCATAATCAAATAGAAGGGACATTTAATCAAGTGGAGATGACTGAGTGCTTAGCAGTTACATACCCTTACTTTGGTTGGCTAGATGAACAAAGAAAGGAAGTGGAACAAGATAAAT